GTGAGTGTCAAGAGGGCCAGGAGCAGGAGAGTCTGGCCTGGAGACAGGGTCCCACCACTACCGCCCAGAGGCTCCCACCCTCCTGGATTCCAGCCAGGAGTGCACAATCCTTGTCTTAAATAGGATTGAGCAGAGGATGGGACAACCAGCGTCTGTTGTATAAGCCCAAGGGGCTGGGGACTGGGAGCCTCGACTGGCCACTGCACTAATTTGTGGAGTTAACTAACATTATGTGTTAACTCTGGGAGGAAAGAACATTTCAGCCACCGGGCTCCCATGGTTCCAGGAGGCTGCTGAATGATGTTTCTCTAGCGTCACTGCTTGGTACCCCCACCCCGCCTGGCCCTCCTCGGGGAGCAGCCAGCCTCTGTGTTTGAAGGCATCTGTCCGAGCGGTGCACTGCTTCTCCTTCTAAATGGTGTGATTGGAAGTGATCCCCAAGCACCCCGCCACTCTTGTGCTTATTTTGGCCCAGGCAAATCCAGCCATCTTTGGGTCCCGTCAGGCAGAGGCTGGCTCGCTGGCCGGCATGCTCAGGGTCTGCTGTGTGCTTCAGCAGGTACCACAGGCGCAGAGAAATCGCCTGCGCTGTGTCTGCAGAGGCAGACCCAGGAGTGGCCCCGCCCACTTCCAGGCACAGGCTGCTCGTCAGTCCGCCTGGTTTTCCTGGAGGAAGCTGCTGCATAGACTTTTCATGAGCAAGTCCTTACAGGTGGTTTCTGTTTTGAGCCAGGTTTTCAGCTAGGAGCTTTTTTGGGAGTCTGTGCAGATGAACAAAATCAACACTGGTCAAAGTCTAGATATCTATGAGGAGGGGATAATTAATTAAATTATGATAAATACATCTGATGGATACTAGATCTTTTTATTAAGAAAGTACTTCTGTGATAAATGCAAAAAAGCAGGACACAAACTGAATATATGTTATGATCACAAGTATGTTACAAAACAGAAAGAAAAAGATGGGAAGGAAAAACACCAAAATACTAACATTGGTTTTCTTGAAGAAATGGGAATTCCAGTGATCTCTTTTGATCTCTCCTGTATTTCCTTATATTTTCTGCAGTGGATATGTATTAACTTTTATCATTAGAAAATGTGTTTTAAAATTTAAGTCCTAGTTCAAAAACTAAACGTGTCAGAGAAAGGGGGCAGACAGACTCCTCAGACTTACAGGGCAGCTCCATGGAATGCCCTCCAGGTCCCCAGTGCTTCTGCTGCCAACACTCCACTGATACGCATGTTGAGACTGAGGAAGTTTCTTCCTGCTTCTGTGCCCCCTTCTCCCGATGGTTTCCTCATTGTCAGGCCACGTACGTATCTGCTGAATTGAGTTGGAGGCACGTGCGTTCTGTATTTTTCTAAGAGTAGAGCCAGGCTTTTCCTGAGCAGTCGGGCAGCGGCAGAGGGGTGCCCTGTGGGGAGCTTACCCAGGACCTGCCAAGCACACCTCCTTGGCCACCGTCACGGCACACGTTCCGAGGCACCAGGCTGGAGGCGCAGTGCCTGTCCCAGCAGTGATAAGTATTTGTGGTTTGTTTTGATTCAGATTGGGGAAGACTTTGAGCCCTGCTGAGACTCAGCATCTCTCTTTTATTTGCTTTGCTGTTCGTGCTAATTATGGAAGAGCTGTTTTTCCAGGAGGAATGGCTCCTGGTTGGCCCAATCTCAGCCACCAAGGTAACAGGGAATGTTCAGTGTTCAGTCATGACTGTGGGCTGGATGGAGGTGGCACCGGCAGGAGACCAACAGAGGAGGCCCTCCTCCCTGCCCTCAGTTCTGGCTTTCGCTAGAAGACAAGAGGAATGAGGAAAACAGCTACCCTAGGAAATGCCTTCCTTGAAAATGGTTTCCTTTTTCTCGGGTTTGATGAGTGTGGGGATTTGTTGTTGTCATTTTTTAAGTAGAAAAATATACCGACCATTAGCGTTCATTATCCTCGTCTGATTTGGGTCCGGCTCTACCTGTAGGAGATGAATGTGGTAGGCCAGGAGGCCCCCGTGGATTCTAATTTATGTTTTCAGTTGTTTGCCATTTAGTATCTTCATTATGGGGCTACTTTCCTGCCCCTCTAAAGTCATCTTTCCCAGCAGGCTGTTTCTGGACTTTATTTAGTACCGTGGTTACCTCCTGCAGGCTGTGTGGCCCCATCCTTCACCAAAATGTCACCTCAATTAATTCAGTGGCCATGAGACAGATCCATCACTGGCCCTCCAATTCCCGTCAGCAGGCGCCCGTGAGTGATGGGCATCTCCACGCCTCCCACGGCCCCCCTCCCGTGTGGAGTCAGCTGGGCAGGACTCACCATCCGTCTGGGCACGGGGGCACCTGGCTGGCCCGAGTCCTCTCATACCCTGTGCTGAGGGAGACGTCAGCCTCAGGAGGAGACCCCAGGCGTGTTCATTCCACCTAGTTGGCCTTGTTCCCCAGCCCTGCTCTCAGGGATGCCTCAGGAGAGCCAAGGCCCTTTCCCTTCGGGCCAGGCCTAGGCAGCGGGGTCTTAATTCAATCTGCTCATTCCCACCCTAGTTCCACACAGCACGGCAGTGCAAATGGAGCTGGCAGAAGAGCTGACTTCTCATTTCTCTTTCCTCTCCCTTCTCTGGCCCGTAGGTGTTTGAGGAACTGTGGAAGAGGGAAGGCAAGACTCCAGGGCAGATTGTTTCAGAAAAGCAGCTTGAACTGATGGAGGACCAGGGGGCACTGGAGCAGCTCTGCCACTCCATGATGGAGGCCCATCCTCAAGTGGTGACTATCTCGGGCGGGGGACAGGGTCAGAGCCACCTGCAGAGCCAGCCCCAGGACACGCCCAGGAGCCTCGCCATCACTCTCTGTGGCAGCCCAGAGGCTCTTCCTAAGAATGACTGGCCCAGTTTCATCTACAATTCCCTCATTGTCATCTTTTTAGTTAAGGTCAGAAGAGATGAAATCGGTAGATATTGGAAAAACATAACTTCTTTTCCTGTAAGGAGGATACCACCCCTGGAGTTTACTCTCCATGGAGGTGTAATTTAAAAGGGTGTCAGCAAGCTCACGAAATCCAAGCTGTGACCTCCCAGGTGTGTCGCCCTCTCCCAGGGTCGGCATTTCGAATCTGGTGTGGTTAGCGCTACTTCCTAAGGACCTCCCAGTAAGGAACCAGCAGGTGTGCCTGCAGATCAAGGAGAGTACAGGAACTTCGGCTTCATGCTTCTAAGAAGTGGGAAGAAAGGCAGAAGGGAAAAGTATTTATAAATTGTGGAGAAAATCCCTGACAGGAGCATGGCTGAAAACCAGGTCATTTTGTGTTCTTAGCACAGCACAAGACAGAAAAGCTAAAACAAGTGGCATCCCTTCCTCCCCAAGTCTTATCGTATTGTCTAGAGATACTTTTCAGTGGGGAAAAAAATTGTGAGCCACTTTCTCAGAATAATACCCACCCACCCATCAGCTTCCCGGGGACACTTACAGCTCTGTAGAGAGCCCTCGATAAGGAAAGTGAGCCTGCACCGGGCCTCAGCAGTCTCGTCTTCTTGCCTCATCTGTGGTGACTGATAAAGACGTGCTAGTAGTTTCAGGCTTGTTCTGCGGCACTTGAGTGCAGATCCTCATGTCATTGCCCTTGGAGATGCTGCAGAGCAGGAGGTCGTGCGGTGACCCTAACAGTCAGTGGCTATTTGATAAGAATTCAGTGCCTCCTGGCTTCCTCACTCCCCCCACCCACACAGCACACTCCCCCGACCCAGTGCTCCGGAAGACTTAGCCAGTGTGTAGATCTGCTTTCTGATAAAGGGATCTTCGTGGTGGGGGGCACGGGGAGAAGGAAAGCCGCACATTTCAGCTGAACGTCACTGAGAATCAGACAGGTCTCCTCACTAATTAGACGCAGTGATTCATCTCAGAGAGATTATCCCTCCCCAGACTCAGTATCCTCCGGTCATTGTGGCATCCCAGAGGAGAGGGCCCTGCCTCCCACGTGCCAGCTTCTCTGGCTTTCAGCAATCACTTCTTGCTCATTTTAATCAGAAGGCAGAGTAGCAAAAATCTCCTTTGACAGGAGCCTAGAAACCTACTCAGAAGTTAGGCCCCTCCCCTTTTTCTGTTCTTCATTGTATATCTAATACTTGTGGAAATAAGCAGAATTTAATTTTCAGTAAACGTAAGCCTTAGTTTGGGATTTGGGGGCATGAGTCTCTTCATTTTCTCCTCTTAAGTAATTTCTGTCTTTCTAGGTAATGGATTTGAAGAAGCGAAACCCCAGAGCTATAAATAAACTGATTGGGTTGGTCCGGAAAGCGACCCAAAACCGAGCAGATCCAGCCATGATAAAGGAGATCCTGGAGAAGAAGCTGTCTTCGTGAGATGTTTGGGGTCCCCATGCCCAAGGGAGAATAGTGCAGCCTGACTGGGAGCAGGATCCTGTGAAAGCTGACGCCCATGTGCCCTGTCAGTCCCTGTCCCGAGCCACAGCTGTGGCGTTATATATCACCAGTGTTCTCACCCTCTGGGCCCTGTGCCTGGAGGTGCCTCCACAGCCAATCGGCAGCCACCCCCGCCTGCTTCATCCACATCAGGAGGGTCCGGTGATGGCTGTAGCAGTGGTTAAGGAGTAACACCTTCTTGTATTAAGGAATTTTAAACTAAATAAAATGTTATGTTAGAGATACTGTTACCCATTCTAAGAAAACTTTTCATTCTGCAGTTCCTTCAACAAATATTTTTGAGCAACTCCTAAGGGCCAGCCATTGTCGTAGGTGGTGGGCATTAGCAGTGGTCAAGAGAGACTGTAATTTGGATATGCTGTTTTCAGACCTAAACACAGGTTAACAAAGATGAAAACACAACCAAATAAAACTGGCACGGTATAAACACACATTTGTTTAAGGATGTCTCAAGAGGGTGGGAAAGGAGGATATTATTAGAATTAATCAACCTATTGACTGAATAGAAGTGATACTGCCTGTTCAACTCCCTACCCATCCCAGAAGGTGCAGGTCTGAGAATAAATGAATTTTAAAAAGTAAATTTTCAAATAAATTTAATCAATAAAATATATACTGAAATATCACATAAAAATTAACTTACACTTCAAAGATTGTGCAGTTGACAACTCCCCCCAACTCCCCCAACCCTCAGGCCAAACAAGATAAAAAGAAACAAAAAACAAGTTGTAACATGAAATTGACTTGTTTTGCTTGGAAGTAAGATTATAAATTAGTAAATCACAATCTTGACCTTTCACGATAATGGTGGTGCGCTGCAGGCATGACAATGAAGGTGGGACTGTCTGCACCCCTGTGCTTGTGACACTAATACTGTTCTCTCCACTGCACCGGAGCACACCTTCATTCGGTATATGCCTTTGTTACCTCTGACTCACGTCGCTTAAAGACCAGTTTTGCAAATGTTGTTTTTTAAAAGCGTACTTGTCAAAACCGTGATGTAAGAGAAGAAAATCCTTGGAGGCCTTGATTTGAAGCTGTGAACCTGTAGCCTACCAAGGACAGTACAAATATTCCCGTTGTGAACGCTGCTCCAGAAGCAGCTGAGGAACTAGAAAAAAGTGGACACCCCTCCATCACCAATTCAGCGACTCATGCTTCCTGGCTTGTACAGTTGCTCAGGACTTCCCTGAGAGTGATGAGAACGGGGCCCCTCTTCCCCAGCCCAAAAGGTAGGCAGAGAAAGGTAACCAGTTGTGTGGTTCATTTTGGACAGGCATGAGGAGGTGACTTTAAAAAAAAAAAAAAATCTTTTAAAAGAATTAGTGACAGAATTTTAAGAGACTATGTGACCTTACCCTGGAAGCCAGGTGCCCCGCATCCTGTTGCGGTCCAGAAAACTGCTGGGTCTAAAGTAACATGATTTTCACTGCACCTCTCTACAAGAGAGTGAGGCTGAATCAGTTCTCTCCTCGCCCTGCAAGTCTCTGAATTACAAATGGGCAAAGGTGGTCTGAGACTAGGGTCTGACAGGATCTTTATTTTGTAAGAAAGGATAAGGTTCAGTTTTGTTTTATAAATTCCATTTTCACCAAAAGTTCCGGCTTCTTGGTGACTAAACCTTACAGAAAGTATCAAAGATCTTTCCAGACCATTTAAAATTAAGGGCTTACTTAAAAGAGGGTGCAGCCAGATACAGACACTTCAGCAAAACTATTATGTCAAGTGAAAACCGCAAAGAGGAAGATGCCATTGTTAAAGCCCTTGATTTGCTCAGGCTGATTCTCATTCAGCTCTGACAATTGCCTGTTGTCTTGAATGCCAGCTTCTGAAATCCTGAAAGCCAAACCTTGTAAGTTGATATCACTGCAACTAGGAAAAAACCAAAGCATGGCTCTGACTGAAACCCGATGAGATATTCTGAAGATATGTTTACATTAACACCCCAAGAAATTCGCTAAGATGGCTCTGCGTGTAAAGGGGCCTCTGAAATATGATTTTATATTCTTGCATGAGTGTGCATTTAGTCTGGTCTCCTGGTTCACTCTTCAGGGAGAAATCTCATTAAAATGTATGAATTGGCACCACAGGTGATGCCATTGCCATCTGGCTCAGGAATCCACACACCTGTAGGCTGGGTGTGTAATGCTGAGGCTCTGACTAGAGGTTGGAGTGTGCTGGAAAACTGGCTCTGCCCCAGGCTGGCTTGAACCAGCTCTGCCTGGTCAGGCCCAAACCCTGTGTTCTGTTGCCTGGGGAGGAGGTTGGAGGGTTCTGGTGGGAAGGCAGGAATGTGTCAGCCCTAGCACTCTGCATGCTATCTAACAGAGGCAGTATTCAGTAAAAGCTTGCTTACTGTATGAAGCAAATTAATGGACAAGCTTTTGTGGGGCCCTTCTGAAGAGACTGGTGATACCAACTACTAGGCTTCTACATTCTGGGTCTAGAAAAGAGTTGTTTAATCTCTGTCCAGGGTTACACATCAAAGTGAACTTCTGTTCCTGTCTTTCAAGGTGTAGGCCCAGGCCTAGGAAAAAGAACCTAGATCATTACTGCACCAAGATAAGGATATTTTAGCTGAGCTCCCCCACCCCACTAACATTTTAGTAATTATTGCTAAAATAATTACTAAGAAGGCCTCGAAGTTTCGGAAAGTACACGCCCTCCTTCAGCTTTGAGTTGGATAGTTCAGGACGCAGCTTACGGCTTGAAAAGCACACGCCCTCCTTCAGCTTTGAGTTGGATAGTTCAGGACAGCTTACGGCCATGCCCCGCTATTTCATATTGTGTCTTTCATTTCCATTGAATTTAGTTGCATAGTTTCTACATAGTAACTATTGGGGAAAAGCCACCACATCTATCTGAAAGGCTGTGTTCTTTACCCATTACCAAAAGCAGCGTGGAAGTGGCTGCCGTGCCTCTTCAGCAGGTTTTAGACAAACATATTCATGGATTATTTGCAAACAGAGCTGACCCCTGCCTGTGAGGTGGGAAACATCTGATTGAAACCCTTAGTCAAATAGCTTAGCAAGAGTTGTGTAAGTAAGATTGTCAACACCAAATTCCCTCTTTCAGAATACCCACAGGGCAAAAAGGGGCCTTGTTACAGGTGGGCCCTTCATAGACTTGTCCCAATAAAAAGTCCGCTGACGCACTAAGCAGCACAGACTTCGGCAGCCTCCGCTCCACGAAATTTAATCTGGCCTAAGAGCCTCCATCATCTTTGTTGTGTTCTGAAATGATACAGTAAATCTAAACTCCCCGAAAGATGCCTGAGTGCATGTTGAAGTCATGCTGACAGGTCCTACTGGCCGTCTTGTTACTTGTGTAGGTAATAGTGAACTAGGTTACTTAAACCTTTTAAGACAGGAACAAGATTCACAGTGACCCTACAAGCTAGGAAAGGTCAGTCCTAGCTAAAATCTTGATCGATTTTAGGATTCTAGGTGCAAGAGGTCAAAGAACTGAAGGCTTCCACCCATCCTGTCCTGCTCCTTTTCCCTAGAGAACCTCTGAAAATCTTTCACTGAAGTCCTGTTGATCCAGTTAATGAGCTGCCAGGATGATCTGTAGTCCCAAAACAAGTAATGGCCTAATAAGTGCCTGAACATAGAGAGGATTTACTGAGGCAAAATTATCCTAAAAACCATTCTCAGTCTTCTGAGAGCTCTTTCTAAAGCATTAGGTTTACGATGGTCATTCAAAAAGAAGGGGAGGGGAAAGAGTCAACTTCATTCTCTTACAATGTTTCCTCAACGATGTGATTTAAGGGTGGAACACGAACTGGTTTGACAGTGTTCTGTTTTAAGCAGTGACTTGATGGAGAATTAGTGTTGGGTGATTTATAGACTGATGGCTGAAGCAACAAGGGGCCTAGAATATCTTCTTAATGACCTAACGCTGATGTGGCATCAGCTACAAGAGACTGCTGTTTCCAGGAAGAGCTCACACTGCAAAACAGGCTGCCATTTGCAGCAAACCACACATGACACCAGCCTGAGCCAGTGACTTGAAGTAGCACATGCAATAATAGCTGACCTGCAGTAAAGTGTTTCATAAAAATGGCAAGCATGACAGACAGCCATTTCAGTAAATACAGGGCTGGTAATTAGCAATCACATTGAACTGCCCTTAAATGAGAACTGGGGCATATGTAGATACTGAACACCACACCGGGACCATTTAAAATGAAGGGCTTACTTAAAAGGGGGTGCAGCCAAATAAAGATAGTTCACCAGAACTATGATGTCAAGTGACCGTCTTAAGGGCTGATTATTCCCAGAGGACGATGCCATTGTTAAAGCCCTGGATTTGTCCAGGCTGCTGTGGCTGTGCTTCCCTCCTGAAGACAACCTAGACACGCTGATCCAGATTCAGAAGAGCAGCCCATCCACAACCCTAAACCTCCACCAGACCTGGGAATCGGTCCACATGACGGCCATCCGCAACCCTAAACCTCCAACAGACCTGGGAATCAGTCCACATGACGGGACAGCCAAGCTGATTCAGAGACACTGGAAACAACTTTCAACCCGGAGTACCCACTGGCTGCCCAAATTAAACAGGCAACCTCAATATTCGTGGAGCCTGTTCTAGATTCTGTTCATAAGAGGATGCTTTCCTGACAAGACCCTGGCTCCATGATGTTTTATCCTGGACAGAAACCAACTATATCTGACCTAAATAAAAGCTACCTGCTAAGGAAAGGGTACTCCTGATGACCTAGAAAAATACTGAATGCATCCTAACACCTGACAGACATCCACTCCAACCCAAGCACATCAAAGTATTTTCCAAAATAATACTCAACAAAATGGGGACGACTTCACAATTCCTCTAAGTACCAGGGAAAGGAGGTATTTAATGGTAAAGAAAAATCACATCTCTAACTGGCTATTCCAGCACTCCCATTTCATGGTTGGGAAATTGTATTTTACCAGCCATGAAATTATGTTTTAGGGTGAATCTAACCTGGAATTTCTTTGTGTAAAATTTTAAAAACATTTACTTGGCCATTTCCAAAAAATCAATTTTAAATATCCCAGTGCTCTCATACATTTTGAACCACAGAAGTCACTCAGTCTGGAACTTTAAGTCAGGCCCTGAATTATGAATTGAGGTTAATGTTGTGATACTCTAGGAACCCTTGGCTATCTCACCTTTCCCGCCCAGGCCAGACGCAGTGACCCCAGCTCAGGGGCTGCGTCAGGGGGCAGTACCCACGGTTTCTCTTCCCCTACATTCTTCCAGGAAGGGGCACAGCGACTGGTGTGGGAGCCTGTCACACAGAGAAGTGTCCGCACTCTCGGACCATATTTTTAAGCATGCCAAACATATTTAAGATTTTCCCCCCAACTCATTGCAAAAAAAGATATTTCTAAGGGCTTGCTGATTTACTTTAGGACCGGAATATTCTACCTCATTGCCAATGATTTTTTTTCCCGACAAGGAGTTCCCACTCTCACCCACCCACTCCCTGGTTTCTTCATATCCACCTAGATCAATGTTCACCTCCCTGAACCATGCAGGATTGGCTCTTCTCCTGTGGGTAGACTCAGTTCTCTGCTGTTTTTCTTTTGGCATGTCTAGTCACTCCCTAAAAAACCCACTTCTAGTTATTTCACTCAGCCACATGGGTTTTCCCATTCTATGTCCAGCTCCATTTTCTGACTTCATTTTGCAAAACTATGGACACAAACCTCTGAGGACTCTGATGGATTCAGAAACATGAGCCGGTTTCCAAATCCAAATAGGAAGTTAGCGTTATTGTGTGAGTTTGCTGCCAGCACCCCAGCATGGGAAGTTAAGTTCTCCTGCCTGTCACTGCACACACCAGTCATCTCTGTCGTCATTTAAAGTAAGTCTACTTCAGGCTGGGCCCTGTGGCTCACACCTGTAATCCCAGCACTTCGGGAGGCCAAGGCGGGATGATCGCTTGAGCCCAGGACTTTAAGACCAGCCTGGGCAACATGGTGAAACCCCATCTCTACAAACTATACCAAAAAGTTAGCTGGGTGTGGTGGCACGTTCCTTTATTCCCAGCTACTCAGGAGGCTGAGGTGGGAGGATCACTTGAGCCCAGGAGGTGGAGGATACAGTGAGCTGTGATCACACCACTCCACTTTAGCCCAGGCAGCGCAAGACCCTGTCTCAAAAAAACAAAATAATTAAGTTTATTTCAGTACCTATTGAAAAAAACAGTAAGACGCACAAAATCAATCTTTTCCCAAAGGAAACCTTCCACAAAGGGGACCATGGTGTTCTACAATGCAGAAATACGGATTCAAGAAGAATCAACACCACCACCAGATAATGGAGAGAGGTGTAAATCAAACCACGAAGCTAAAGAATTCCATTTCCAGATGTGGCGTTAAGATTTTATGACTTTGTAAGTCCAAACAAGAAGATAAATACTTGTGCAAAAACAAAGTTAGAGTATAACAAATTACAGCCGCACTTCCATCTTCAACTATTCCTCTTTCTCTATCTTAAGCTACCTTCTTTTCTAATGGAGACTTCTGGGCTGTGCAAATACAAACAGACATCAGGAAGCCAGGAGCAGGTCAGTCTGCTGTGCCTCATCCCTTCTGGCTGCTGCACCACAGCTGAGCAAACCATTTGTCAAGACAAACAGAAATGTACAGTGAGTAGGAATCTTTGGTGTCTTGCTTGGACTATGAAACACGAAAGCAAGGCTGGCTCCTAACAGCTCACCCTGCCCGGGTCAGGTCTCCTGTTGTCATTTCACAGGCCAGCTCTCAATTTCTCATTTGCTCAATACAAAGCTGCTTCAAGATTCCTGAAGCACAAAAGGGCCTCCACTGCTCCACAGCATCACAGGTGTGGTTCCTTCCTCCACTGCCCTGCCTGTGCATGAGGGGCCTGATGAAGACCGAACCAGTGCTCCGGAGGCACAACCAACAGACCTGTGGCTGCCCTCGGGGCTCCACAGAGATGCCCACAAAGCACAGAGAGAGCCGAGGCTTCCAATTTCCCTCCACACCGGCAGGCTCACGTCCATTACTTGCTTCTCACCTGCAGAACTGGGCCCAAAATAGAGGGGAGTGGAATTTGATATCCATAAAAATCAGTTGTTTATGGTCTCATTTTCAGCTCACAATTATTCTGTGTTTTCCGCTCTTGGTGGTGGTTTAACATGGCTGGGCTCTAAGTATAATCCTGCCTCTTGGAGCAGGCTGCAAAGCAGCAGAGGGTTACTCATACAACACGGTGGGGCCTTCTAATGAACCCCATTACTCAGAAGGCAGCATTTCCATGCAGAGTGAGTCACCAGCAGGCACTTGGCTTTGCAGGGCTCCAGGTGACCTGTTTGCATTTACATCCAAGATCCCGAAGTGGGTTGTACAGTTCCTGTTTCTCTACAAAGTGCAGCTTATTAGCAAAAGCGAATAGAATTTTAAATAATGACCAGTGTTTTTACAGGCTACATTTAGTTTATCTCCCCATCCCACCCAGCTTACCCTCCCTGAAAAAACCCACTATGAAATGGCTTCACAAGTTAATCAGTTTGTTTTTATAAAACACTTATAAAAATAATGATGGCTGTCTTCTTACATACATATGTGAGACCATACTTTCTTCATCTGATAAAACTCCTAAAAACCAAAGTAACAGTTTGCATAGGTATACTTAATTTTGTGCAAATCTTACTAAAATAAGGCCATCTTCAGTGTTTAGATAGTGTCATGCTGATTAAAGTAAGCCCTCAAGAAATAAGAAAAATTCTCTGCATTCCAAATTCTCTCCAAGGACATCCGACTTCCCAGGCAGAGAGCTGAGACCAGTGGCTCTGCCGGCACCATAAGGCAACACACGTCCTGGAAGTAAAATCCAAAGGGACAGATGATATGTGCTTTCGTGATGGAGGCAGGAGGGGCTCCGTCTTTATTCTTCCTTTATAAAACAGAGGCCAAAATGCAGGAGGCAACAGGACCATCCGCGCAGTTGCAGGTGTATAGTCTTCCTGTGGTGCTGCTGCTGAACAGCTGGGATTCTGACATGGGGCACTTCCGGACATCACTGAACCCCAATATTGCTTGGTGTGATCTGAGCTGCAAGATGAATCACTCAAAGGGATAGGAGAATGATACCCAAAAAATACAAGGAGGAAAAAACGGAGCAAAGAAAACTGCCATGGGAGCAACCAGCTTATGAGACTTACATTCTATATATAACATAAGGTGGAAAGGCCCGGCTAGAGAGAGAGAGGAAAGATACAGAAAATTCCCCTCCCCACAAATCAAGTATTGTCAGGAAACATTAAAGTAGAAATCTTTGTAAGCAGCTTTGCATTTAACATTCAGTCAAGACATTAAATCTTACAAAACAAGAACCTCTATTTAAAAAAAAAAAAAAAAAAGCTAACAACAGGAGTCCTCAAAGTCACCCAGTATCTTGTAGCACAGAATGGAGTGTTCCTGGGCCAAGGCTGCCAGCTCCTTCAGGAACTCTGGGAAGAGGGCAGCAGCCAGCATGGGGTTCCTCACTGGCAGGGGCAGGTTGGGGGGTGCCTCAGCCACCTTGGTTCGGTGGGTCAGGAAGGGCTGAAGCACTCTTGGAGGTCCATCCAAAAGGTTCTTGCCACTTCCTGTCCTGGAAGCCTCCTGAATGGGATCTGAAAGCAGAAAGAAGACCATGATGGTGTCCCTCCATAGCCTTCCCATCCACCCTCTTCAGTGGAGCATGTGTTTGGGGGCAGAGTTGCTGGAGAGTATCTAGTCATGAGTGCAGTTCCTATACTGGACTAAATCCTGAAGATGCAGCCCTTGTGCACTCCATGACACACACATTTGCCCAACGGATATCCTCCAGCATATAGCATGTGATATGAGACTTTCACCCAAAATTCCTTCTAAGAACTTCACGCAGAAATCATGGAAAGAATATAGGTTTGTCAAGAACCCTCCATGCCAGAATATGGAAATGGGGAAAACGGACAAAGGCATCTCCTGTCACTGGCTTATTAAGGGGCGATGAGTAGCCCCACCTGCTCTCCCAGCCTCCAATGCTGGGATGACTGTTCTCCCTTTGCCAGTGAAGCCCTGACAGCACAGCATAGCTCCAGCAGGGACGCTGGGTGAACTGGGTCACTCCAAGCTCTCTGCAGCGGGTGCTCCAGCCTCTCAGGCTCCCCAGTGACCTCCAGTCTTCTTCTGGCTGGGACCGCCAACGTTTTACATAAAAGGAGAGCGGAAGATTCCTTGAGGTCAGCAGAAATAATGGAAGGGAAGTTGGGTGCTGGTAAGACCAGAGTAAGAACTTCCTGCAACCATGGGGAATTAGTATCAAATGGCTTAGAAGCCTACATTGAAGGAGGGTTGCCAAGGGTTTCCATCTCAATTTCAATAACATAGGCCTAAGATGAGTTCAAACTTAAACATATCCAAGTGATTTGCATTTTCTTATCAAATTACTTTTTACTAATTAAAATGGTTGAACTTCCCTATTTGATTCCTGAACATCACCAGCCCTCATATATTTGTAGGAATTATTTATGCCTTCCTCTGCCCCCTACCCAAACAATCTCATTACTCCTTATAAATCATTATATTCAAGTTCTTCATTATTTTGGCTGCTTCTTAGAATTCAGTACCATTTTTCAACACTCTTCTCAGAGTGTTGCTTAACTACAGTACTAAAAATTCTTGACATTTATAATACTTTCCACATCTCACTACTATAGTCTTTAGTGTTAAAAAAAAAAACAAAAACTTCCACTTTCCTGCTTTAAATATCCTTTTAGATTAAGACTTATCACAGCTTTAATGCCATAAAGAACTGGAAAAGTTGCCGAGAATCTGTCTTCTGCTACCTTTCAGCAGAAATTCATGCCCCGGCAACAGAGTGAGCACAAAAGTGTTGATATCACTGAGGTACATGTCAACCTTGGAGAGCACCCCTTCTCATCCCCAACCATAGCTCAGGCCCTGTCACTCTCCAAAGCACCCAGCAAAGCTCACAAAGGAAGCTGGCCTGCATTCCAATGGGGAATGGGACACTGTGGACACTACTCCCAACCGAGACCTGCACTGCTCGTGCTGGTTCCTCTACCTGGAATTCCCTGCCCCATTTCTCTGCTCACCTAAATTTTACTAGCCTTAGAGGCATTATTAGTATAGTGGTTAAGACCACAGAGTCTGCCACTTGCTGGCTGACTTCAGGCAAGTTGCTTTACCTCTCTGTACTTCGATTTCCTCACCTGCCAAAAGCTCATAGAGTTGTTATAAGGATTAAATGAGTCAATAGGTATAAAGTACACAGGGACCTCTGAATGGGTGTCAGCTACCACACCATCCCCATCAGTACAATTGCCACCAAGTTCACAATGAATTTCCAGTTTCCTGCCCCAGAATTCATTCCTATAGTCTTTATGCCTTCCTCTGCCCTCTACCCAAACAGTCTCATTCTAGCCTCCTCCCCATGTTATTGACCAACTAAGGCTTGCACTGCCCTTCAGCCTCACATTGTTTATGTTTTATCTCCTCTACTAGACTCCAACTTTTCTCAGGGCTGAGCCCTATCGCTAACATGTCTTTAGCAACCCCTAACACACTTCTATATTCATAGTAGGAGCTAATAAATATTTGCTGAATGAATGAGTGAACGAACTGATCTCATCAGTCTTCCCTACTCCTGATGCTCCCTGCAGCTGCTCGTATTCCTCATCTCCCCATTCTCCTTCAAATTCATTCATTCTCTTCTCCCCTAAAAAGGGGTTTTGTGATTCATTTATCTAGCTTGAGCTGTGAATAAAAAGTGTCATTGCTAAGGCTCATTTACTCAGTATGAATCTAAGAATCAGAACTGTCTTCACTAACGAAGACAGGAGAACACCCAGTGAGGGAGACCAGGGGCTGGCCAGGAGATCCATAGCACAATTCCATCAGCGGCTGCAGCATGTTGACCCGGGCTCCCCTCCGGGGTCTTGGCCTTTCAGTGTGTCACCAAGCACCATCAAATTCTCCATTCAAAAGCAAGCAGACCCGAGTTATGGTCCCTACCTGGCCACCAGCTCATCACAGAATGTCTCAGTTTCCATCTCTGTAAACTGGGGACATTACCTACCTGATCTCCCTTCTAGAATTAGTGCCCAGTAAAAGGGCTCTGAACATAAGTAAATACAGTGAACTGTTACTCTGTGGTTTGGAAAGTATTTGAGTAGAAAGAGAAAGGCCTGGCAAATGGCTGAATCTCAGAGACCAACAGCCTCAAGAATAATAATGTGGAACTGGGAACAGGACATCCGCTTGCTCTGGAGCAGCAGCCACACAGACTTTTACCGCTGTTGGAAGCATTAGTGAGAAGGCTCGTTTTTCACAGGGCTGCCAGGAGGCGAAGGGAATGCAGAGCCTGCATGATGGAGCAGCTCTGGCTGCAGGCGCCTGAGTTACGCCCCTCATAAAAGGGTCCAACAAGCATGCACGAGCACCTGAAGAAAAAGGCAGGGCGGAGGGAAGTATAAATAAATGTCAGAATTAGGAATGGCTTCTGAAATGTTGCCCTGGGTCTGAAAAGCTGCAACAGAAGGTTTTCAAGACTAATACTGGGAAGATTTCAGAAGTGAGGAGAGAGATACGTTATGTGTTCATGTCCCCGGCAGCAGTATTAGGCAAAGGGCAGAGCACGCAGACACTTGGACCAGGCCCATTACCATAATTCTTCATTGTAAACTGCTCTGCATCCCAGTGAGAACAGGCCTCCCAGATCTGAATCATTTATAGGAAATCACGTCACAGTAAATGCTTCAGAAGTCAGCTTTGTATAAGGGGACAGGAAACTCTCATTCTGTCAGTTAAAGATGCTTTAAGTGGGGGAAGAGTATGACTTGGCTAACCTGGAAAAGTTAGAAAGTTAATCTAAAAAAAACTCAAGTAGAAGAAAAGTGTTATATCCAGAGAGAAGATTCTTACAGGTCAAAGCCCTGGAGTGTCACAGACCTTGCTTAAGGAGCATGGAACCCAGCTAACTAATTTGACAACCTGAGGCAGTGAGAACAAGTTCCCCAGGCATATATTTTGAAATCATGGCCTCCAGATATTCTGAAACCAGGACAAGTCCAAGGTGTGAGTGACCCTCACCCTTTCTCTGAATGTGAGGGTTAAGGCTCAGTGTACCCTGAGTATCTAGTATACCTCAGTGTATCTAGGTTGGTCAGTGTGTACACTCGTCTCTGAATTAGCTAAGATGGGCTCAGGCACTTGAGTTTCACGATCCTGGCTGAATACCCTGGACCTCTAATTTTGGCTTCCTTAATGAAAATGAAGCTAATGGTACCTTTTTTGCCCTTTTCAGAGTGCTATTTGATAATGAAAATTGACCGCCTGAGAAAGCACCTTATAAACTGTAAAATACAATGAAGACCAGGCCTTGTCTAGGAGGCTACAGAATGCCCACAACTTGTTGCAGCTCTTCCCATCAAGCGGTAGGGTTTTTGCTCCATTCTTCAATCTGCGCTGGCCCTGTGTCTTGCTTTGGCCAACAGAATGCTGTAGAATGGACCTTACATAAGCTCGGAGTCTGAGCCTCTAAAGATTTTCTATGCTTCTGCTCTCACTCTTGGAACCCTATTAACTGTGACATGGACCAGCCTGGGCTACTCTGCCGGATGGTTAGGAACACCCCCATCACCCTCATCACTCCAGCCAACAGCCACAGATGTGAGGCCATCCTAGACATCCAGCCACCCACTGATGGCAGCCACACAAGCGAATCCAGGCAAAATCACCCTGGCCCAGATCAGCAAAACACCCAGATGACCACACAGATTCATAAGCAATCATAAATGGCCTTGTGCTAAGCCAGTGAGTTTCTGCAGTGGTTTATTATACTGGTAACTGGTGCACCTTCTCTCGCGGGGTAGGTGGCAGCAACATGCGCCCTGTTCTGGAGGAACACAGCTCACACACTGACCACCCGTGTGTCTAAGGAGGCCACGTGGCACCTGAAGTCCACCTTCCCACGGAGGTGCTGGGGCCTCTCCCTCCATGAACGCCTTTGCCTGCTCTTCTCAAAGTCCAACAGCCTGAAGCCCGACTCCTCACTTTACCAGTGGCACATGGCCTACCTTTCTTTCAAACCCTACCTTGCAGTACCCTAAGGGCTCATCACAACCCAAGTTCTGGCTTCAGCTAGTAAGCACCTAAGAGATGGAGAACAAATCCTTCATTGAAAAGTCAAGGGACATTGGGCCTGTGAGGTAAAGTGACCAAGATCAAATAGCTGCACAGGGGCAGCGTCAGGCCTTCAGAGTTCTGGGTTCTTTCCAGCTTCTTTGAAAGGTGGAACAATCGCCCTGAGTTTCATTTCCGCACTCACTGCCAATCTTGTTTCTGATCACTTGCCTTTGGCCCAGGACCGAGAGCCTTACTCTCTCCATTGTTCATCTGCCACAAAGAAGCCTGACTGGTCTGTGTGTGGAAAAGTAAAAGCCAGTGCAATATGTGGCATTCCTACTTTGCTCCTACCAAGGCCTAAGTCACAGCTCAGGGGACAATGGTCAGCAAATCGGTCCAACCAGAGCTTAAATAAGGTAAAGCAGCAGTGGTGCTCCCGGGCCTGGCCAGCCATTCTCAGCGCTCCTACTAGCACCGACCCATCCCCTGCCCCCACTCCTCACTCTGCCAGGGCCCTGGCCTAACGCCTCCTCTAGAGCTCATAAAAAGGCACTCTCAGAGGTTTTAGGCTGAGCATAAACTTTACTTCTCACAGTCCAAACCGTTTTTTTGTTTTGTTTTTTGTTTTACCTCCTAGGGCCCTAAAGCACACTTATTTTTGGCCCAAGAGCCTCTGAAAACATCATAAAGAGAACACATGCCCTCCTCAGGACAGGGCTGCCCAAAAAAATGGCTCGGAGGGTGCACATAATGCCTCTTTCTGGCCCATGTGTGCTGTGTGATTTATTCTAGCCTGACAATACCCTACACGTGAGCTCCTTCCAGGCACCACTCTCAGTTAAAAGACCAAATCCCCTCTAGACCCTCCACAGAGGAAACAGGCCAGGTGTGAGCAAGGGAGACCTTTCTTTAGGATTAAGAATGTGAAGAGGTGGTTCCTCCCTGTTGCATAAAAATGAAAATATCTGAATGCTTCTAGGATCCAGAAGCCAGTGCAGCGTCTGTGAACTGAGGCCAGTAGGCTAGGGACGTCGAGGAGGAATTTAAGGAGGGGCACTGTGGAGAAACCTGGCTTACCTTTGGTTAGTGCCGCAGGGGTCATATCAGACATGTCCACACGGAAGAGCAGGTATTGCTGGGCTTGTATGAGGAGTCCTGGGAAGTCTCTCTCCACAGAGGCAAACTGTTCAATCTTGTTTTTCACAGATGCAAGGACCTGTCAAAACAGCATTACTGATGTTAATGCCTCACCATGAAATTCCACTGTCAGTTATCAATATATCTTGCAGGTACAACCCTCATTATGGGAACTATTATGATGTTAGACATTGGCTCATTTTTAACTGCCTGGGTGTTCTGCGTAGGGCACCCTGAAAACATCGAACTAAATGAAGCTCTACAGTTTGTTTAGAATAAACTACAGTGAGCTTAATAGGACAGGGAAGGAAAGCAAATGAATTACAGCAGAGATGCCCTACAAATTAGCACCCACAAAATCAACAGGTATGGATGTGGGCTCAGCTAACATACCTGATAGAGAGAGCGGACGCTTGGCTGGAAGACCATGTTGGTGTTGAGCAGAAAGGAGCGCAGGAGTGGCTGGGGGTAGCTGGCTAGCTGAGTAATGATCCCAATAAGCAGCAAATTAACATGTAAAGAGTTCTCCAGCATGTTCTCCAGCTTTGACAGGACCACGCTGATGAATGGGCCTGCAGGAAGAACATAAGGCTTCAGGGCTGGCTGGGCTCACACGGATGCCTTTCCCTGACAACGGCAGAACCATCGGTGCCACAGCTCCCAAACCACCACGGGCCTGCAGGTGCAAGCCAGACAGCAAATACGGCCAAGTTTTCTCCTGCCTCGAGACCAAAACAGAAAACAAACCACCACGGCAAAAAGAAAACAGAAAAATAGGCATGGCTACTGACATTTTGACTCCATGAGCAGTTTTGATACTTATTAAAATTATCACAGACCTCGGAAAAAAAAACAAATAATTTAACTTTTTAAAATTAAAATATGCTTTTCTACATTGTTCCTGTATTTCTTGGGGCTGCCAGTGCTTAACACATGACAGCCATCATCTCATGATGCACAGACTGTATGGACTGTAGCGTTTCATGTAAGCACCAGAGGCCATTGAAAGTCTTAGTAACGAAACATCTGTGTAAAGAACACCAAAAATGCACAAACTATGCTTATCAAATAGCAACACTGAGAACAGGGGTTGCCTATCCTGAACAAGCACACTGAGAAAAATTTGGTTTTATCAAGTGTCATAATGTGGAACAATAAAAAAAAATAGGTGAGAGGTGGAGGAGCGCCTGGTTATAACCTTAGCAACTCAGTAACCACACCTGAATTTTCAGAGGAGAGAGAAAAGGGTGTCAGTTTTGGGAGATATAGTTCGGCGTGTCATAGATTTCTTAAAAAAGAAAATCCGTATGACTACAAAAGCAGTCATTTAAAAAAAGCAGTTAAAAAAATTAGTCATGCAAAAGCAGTCCATTAAAAAAAAATAGGCAAAATGAAGTTTCTGCTACTTTGGGTCACTAGAAAATTAATATGCTTTGAGTTCACTGAGGGCAGGGAAAACCAAAAATAAATCTGGCATTAATAAACTTACTTGAAGATACTTTAAATTTTTACCATAAAAGTGTTCTGTTAAACACAATCAATGAGAATTTTGCATTTCCCTTGGTGGAGCTATTGATGATGCTACTAAACCATGACATGTTTATAACAAAAGCACACATCCCTTGATAAATAAGCCATGCCTTATGAAGACGTCACCAACATTACAAAAACATACTTCATCACAAGATGCTTCATTGAGAAGCCCTGGTAGCATAAGAGAGTAAAACCCTTTGCAAGGAACAGAAGCTCTGTGTGTAGAATGGGAACACCAAACCGAAACCTTCACCACACAGGGGAGGAAGAGGGTAACTGCAATATCTCTGTCTCCAGGAACACCGAGGATGTCTCTAAGGGATCTCAACACAAGAGGCACCATCCCCTCATGTGTGGCATTTAGCCTCAACTTCCCCATCCTTGGGATGGGAGGCAGAGGTCTTTAGTCACTTTCCATGACATAAGAGGTCAATGAACTCTTCAGATAGAGACTCTTTGGAGATGCTTACAAACAACTGGGAGACTTTGCCAAACACATTTGGAAACTCTGGATAGGGACCCCAGTTTGAAAGCAATGAATGGTTTTCCCATAAAGAACCCCAGAAATGTCAATGGTAACTCTCAAGGCATCGCAACACAATTCTGGCTTTCCAGGTAGATCTAGAGGGGGAAGGCTGCTGTCCTCAGCTTCCTCTCTCCTGCTCCCCTACAGTCCCTGGCTCAGCATCTATTTCCTTCCAGATGGAGCAAAAGCAGGTGAATTAAGACATACTTAGGTGGCCAGAGTCTTCTGTAAAACATATGACCCTAAAATGATCCCTCAACTTCTCTTCCCCAGTCCCAGACTGTGCCTGGCCACATCCAGCCATCCTACAAACTCTAAACTGCTGACCATGCAGTGACCAGGGGAGACCATCCACAGGACATCACTACTATAAGGGGTGAGGTGAAGTGGGAGGTTTCCCACAAGCTTGAATCCCATGCCCTGTGGAGAGGAAGATGATGTCATCATTGACCTATGTGAATGACAGACTATTATTAGGTCAAGGCCAGTAGACTGTAATGATACAAATGGAGTCCACTTTGACATTATAATTAGTGTCCGCTAATTAAATGACTCATCACTTGGGTGTGTGCAATAAAAAATGTGTTAAAACTTTCAAATTCCTACTTTATTCTTAGTTTCTAGCACTACAAAAAAATAAAAATCCCTGTGTAACAAAAAGTGCGTAGGGGGATCTGGTAAGCAGTCGAAAATCGAAAGACTCAGCACAATTCAGGAAGCTGCAGGTGTGTCTGGAAGACAGCGGTTTTATTTTCTTCCCACATCTCCTAGGAGCACACATAGACTCCCCGCCTCACAAAGTATTACATTCTTCAAAGTCACTGAGACTATCTCCACTGTGCCTTCTGTCATCCACTCACCGCTCTCCCCTGTTCCCCGGCCTCCATCGAACCTGCACCCTCTTCCTGCACTTCCCCTGTCCAAGAATGGAGCAGCCGTCGATTCTGTGCCTCCACTCAGCAAATTCTACCCTGGACATATCTCCTGATGTGGACCTGAAGCTCCACCTCCCCTGCTCCGCTGCCTGAGGTCAGTCTCATTTCTGGTCTGGACTCCAGCAACAGTATTTCTATGTTAATAGAGATTTAATTTAGTTATTATTGAAAACAGTTATTAAGCACATCCTATCTGCCAGGCAGTGTGCTGAGCACTTTTCATGTATCAACTCACTCAAGATTCAAAACAACCCTAGGAAGTATATTTATTATTTATCCCCATTTAAAGAGGAGGCAGAATGCTAAGTGAACCCACCTTTGAATAATAGAATTTTAATTCGCACCACCTGTTCCAGTGCTCTTACCCAACACATTATCTTGCCTGCCAAGGAGAGAGAGAGAGAGAGGCAGAAAGAAAGAGACAGAGAGAGACCTAGCATTTTTAACAATACACCCTGGAGACCACACCTCGTATCAACACATACAGAGCTCATCTCAGGAGCACAAAACATTAGATTGCCAGGGTGTTGCACAAGCAAGTCAGTCTCCCACGGGTGGGTATTTGGGTTGTTTCCAGTCTTCTTCTATTCTAAACAATGCTGCAATGAACATCCTTGTATGTACACCTCAGCATACAGTGTGAATACAGCTCTGAGGACATTCCTAGAAACAGAATTACTAGATAAAGGCACTGGCACATTCTGAATTCTGACACGGCAATAAGGGTGTCTCACTTGTTTTTCCTGGCACCAACTTCTCCCCACTCCAGTGCTCAGCACACACTCCTACCAAAGCTTGCCTTTTCAGATCCAGTCACATCACTCCTCAACTTTATACTCCAGGGGCTTCTTCAGTGACAGGGCACAAGGTTTCCATCCCTCAGCTTGGCCCAAAGGCCCTCCATAAGCTGGCACCAACCAAGCTTTCTGCCTTTCTCTCCCACCTCCCCACCCCACATAAACCATGCGGTCACACCCCACAGGCTGGCAGGCTCTTCAGTCTCCTCCTGCTGTCTCCTCTGTCTGGACTATCATTCTCACCTGCTTTCACCTGGGGACTTCCTTGCACTGTCCATCCCTCTCCTCTGTGAGGCCAGTCCCACTCCCCTCACTGGGTTCCCACTGGACTTGGCATATGACAACTAATCATGCATTTCCCACTAAGAGAGTACACTTCTTTGTTGGGGTCTCCTCTGAAAGTCTGTGAATTCCTTTAATGTTGTGTCCTATTTCCTAGCATAGCACCTGCCAAACATCAGGGGATCAATAAAAGATTGCTGAACACATGAATAAATAAAATTAGACAAATGGAATGCTTTGATTTTGCTGGGAAGTGAACTCATTTCAGTGGAAATCAGATGCCCTGGAGAGAAGTAGTTAAGCCTAATGCTACAGAACACACTCAGAAGTTCAGAAACTATAAAGCAGATATACATGGGAAGAGAGATGTTTCCTAAAGCTGTGTACAAGGTTCAAAAGAGGAAAAAGGAAGGTTTTAGTGACAATTACCTGTATGTATCAAAGAGCTTGCAGTATGTTTTGTCAGTTCTCAGGTGTATTATATGTAAAATATTGATGTTATTTAATTGGTTGTTGGATTTGCTTTTTTTTTTTTTTTTTTTTTAACCTTGCCCTGAGCTATACTTTCTTTCCTCTATTTACACATTTCCCAGGAATGAAGCTCCTCTGTAAGAAAGCTGGAATTCTAAAGAATAATCTTCATGGCCATGGGTAGTCCGGATGTCCTACGAGAAGGCAAGCTGTGACATGCCAAGTTACTGCTGCCCTTTCCCTCCAAGTGAACTCTTCCAGCTCCCCCTTCCCTGTCCCCCTTATCAACTGGGAAAAGTGAGATTATCTAATCCATTTTACTTATGATTGACTGACTGATTGAATTTTAATTAAAACTCATTCACACTGAAACGTTATCTCAACTAGAACCGCAAGCCCTTAATTGTGGAATTAAAAGCTTTCTTCCTGTATATACAAATCTTCAGGCATCAGTAAATAGATGAATAAATATTGGAGGAGGAGGCTGGAAAAGCTCCTTGAAATCACATAAGCCTACTTGGCTGGCTGGACCAGAAGGCAATCTGTTATCATCTATTTTGGGTTACTCCAAGAGGTAGGAGCACAGTCCCTCTTCACCAAGCTTCTCCAGGGAGCTACCTGTCGTAAAATGAATAATGACCTCCCAGTATCTCATTCAGTCCTCACAGGAGCAAATGGAAGGCCTGGGATGCTAAGGCCACATGCTGCTAAATGCTAGAGCCAGGACTCAACCCCTGGCCTGGCTCCAAGACCACTGTCGCCCTCCGTTGCTACTATCTTCCAGCCCCTCTCCTTGCTACCTAAACACCATCCAGTGGTCCCACCCTGGCCCTCCCTGGGCTTAGTATGCCATCTCATCTATGGCGATTCCCATTGCACCATGATTTGTAAATGCAGATTTTGTTGGCTAATATTTAATGATGTTTTCTATCATAGGTCTTCACCCCAACCTGCCTATCTGTAAATCCTACCCTATCCCTTTACCTCTTGCAAGATTTCTACCTGTGGCTGGTGGTGTATCATTGAACACACACACTCTTTCAAAGCGCTCTTAGTTGATGTGGGTCCACTCCACTTATTTTTGGATAAAGATTTTGTGATTCTCTGAAATGAGCTCCCAGGCAAAGGCACAGCTAACCCCGATGCCACTGATGTGTGCACAGCTACTGTCACCCAACAAGGACTCTGAGCATCTATTCTGTGCTCTGTTCACTCTTCCAGTGCTAGAGATAGCGCTCCACCCTCACAGAGCATGCATTCTACTCGGGGAGACAGTCATTTGTTAAAAATAAATGTAAATAAGTGCTAAGGAGAAAAATAAGTTAGTTACACTAGAATAAATGAAGTCATTAAATAAGAAGTCTGGATTCTTGTGTGGTTTAATCAGTCCTACTATTTTAACACTGACATATCAAAAGAAGTTACTAAGTAATAAAATCTAACCCCTAGCTTGAGAAATAAATAAGATAATCATTGCAAGAACGGCAAAATAAAAATAAAGTCACCCCTCTTTGCTCTTGACAAAAATATTTTCAGCCCTCTGTTAGACAAACCGATCATATTCCTTACCTTTGCCTACCTTACTTTCCTGTTCCAATACATACAAGTACTTTCAAAAGCAGAAACCACAAAGCAATGCAAGATGGTCACCTGTGAATGGGGTGCTTTGAGTCCTCACGGGATGGCGACTGGCAAAGGCAGCCTCCTCTCTCCCCACAAACGGGGAAAGCACAGTCTCTACAGCAGGTGTCTCCGCTATAAAAGAGTCAAAGTCATCCTCCTCCTCTTCTAGCTCCTTCTTCCCCTCCTCCTCCTTTTCTCCTTTGCTCTCTTCTTCCTTCCCTTCTTCCTCCTTAGTGAGAAGCAAGGGATCAGGTGTGGGGAAATTCTGTTCCATCAAGCCCTCGGCGCTGGAATCCAGCTCTTTAATGATTTGGTCATACTGGGCAATGAGATCCTCGCTCTCCGGGTTGGCGGCTGTCAGGTTAGAGCTGTCCTCTGCCTCAGGGGCAGGGGATGCTAACTCTGAGTTGGATTCTGTGGCTGCTTCAGGTTCCCTCTCTTGCTTTGGCTCCATGGGCTCACTGTGAAATGGGTCTGAATTGTCCCTATTGCACTCCTCCTCTGAATCTGTCGCTGGCTGGGTGCTGAGGAGGGAGCCGTTGTTGATGGAAACACTCTGAATTTCAGCCTGGGCTTCAGCTGGTGGTCTAGCAGCTTCCTCCTGAGAATCCTTCACGTCCTCGGAGTCCTTCTCAGCACACAGCCTGTACACCATCACATCATCCTGAAAGTCCGACTCTTCTATGTAGGACCCTTTGAAGAGCAGGATGGCATTCTTCTTCATCTCCTGGATGTGTTTTGGGGGATCAATGGGTGCTGGGGGGCGTGAAACCTCCAGATCATCATAAGGCCCAGGGGAGCCCATGTCAGCCCCTGAGGAGATTCCAGTGTCATAGCTGTCATCCCATTCCAGCTCTGTCTGGCTCTTGTCCTTTCTGGGAGCTAGCTGAGGTCCCGTCTTCCTGGGGAGTTGTTGCGGGAGCCTGAACACAGGGCAGGCCGAGCTCACACTGCCCTCCTCCGTCAGACCCTGGAGAAACGTCTCAGGGTCGGGGGAGTCGCCATCATACAGGGCGGACCAGACACGGCAGTCCCTCATGCAGCGGAGGATGTTGGTGTGGGCCTCCCACAGGTACTGCAGGTAGCTGATGTCCAAGGCTTTCCCATACTCCACAATGCAGGCTGACTGGGAGAACGCTTCAGGGAATGGCCACTCCACAGGTCCTGCACAGGAGGCAGAGGTCCATTAGAACAAGGGAGGTGTGGGGACAAAGGTAGTGGATGGGGGTGTGATCCATTTAGGCTAAGACTGTGTCTTGCTAGCTACTTTGGGTCTAATTATATCTGATTAAACAACCTCTGAATAATATGGTTAGATTGTAAGAAGGAAAGATTAATAATAGAAACTCTACCCTCACAGAAGAGAGAAAACCAATATAGCCAGTCAATAGTGGCTATAGCCAATGGAAATCTATTATCTGGTACGAGTCATTAGAGAAAGAAGAGCTGATGATAGCAATCTCTCAGGTTGTTGAGAGGATTAAATTAGGTAATACACCTGATATAGTACCTGCCACAGAATAATAACCTTAAAGTTTTTTACTTTGAATCTAAAGTGGAAGGCTGATAATCCATGAATTTGAGAACCAGACTTTTTGTAGAAAAATCCTGGGTTTTTAGAAAAGCCTATTAACTCATTCTGCCTTCCTGGGGACTATCGAGGATGCTGATATTATCAAATGGTCTCTTAAAGTAAAATCATATTCACTACAAAAGTCATTTTAACCTAAGAATGCTGCTCATGTTACTATGACTGCCTTTGATGTTAAAAGTTCCAACTTTCCTACTGAAATAGCTGTGAAAATATCTTCCTATAAGTTTACATTTTCCCTCAAGAGAAAAAGACTGAGGGAAAAATATATAGTCTATCATTTCTTAAACATCTAGTATGATGCAGGTGCTTTATCAATGCTATCTAAGTTAATTCTCCCAATGATCCTGTATGGTAGATATTATTTTCTCCATTTTCAGATAAAGAAATTGAGGCTCAGAGATGAAAGAATGCCCAACCCAAATTGTGGAAGAGCCACAATTCAAGCACAGGCAATTTCACACCAACCTCCATTCTTACTTCAGTGCCACATCTTTGCAAGCCTCACGTCTCTTCATGCTCTAAATCTCTACCAGACTGGGTCAGAATTGAGCCTTTAAGAATACCCATTTCCAGGGCATTAGGGTAGACATAATTCATATTTTACAGCTCTACTGCTAAAACGTTAGTGTTTATCTCTTATCTATGTTATGTAAAAAGACATCAAATACTACTACTAGCAATATTTATTGTGCACTTACTACATGCCAGGCAGTCTTCTAAGAGCTTTACATGTCTTCACTTGCTTTCCTGAGAATAACCCTTTGAAGTAGGTACTATTTTACAGATAAGAAAAGAAATTTAGAAAACTTAAGTAATTTGCCCAAGAAAGTAGTAGAACCAAGACACAGAACCAAGATGCAGAACCTGAATCTTGGCTCTGCTACTTTCTTGGGAAAATTATTTACCCCTGTACAGTAATTACTCTGGCTAGCTAGCTAGCTATGTCACCACACATCCATTAGGGCATTTATCTGCTGTAAGGCAATTCCAGGGGCAGGAGAGTAGAAAGAACATGAAATCTGGAACCAGAGAACCTACTTAGCTGTATAACCATGAACAAGTCAATTCCTCTCTGAGTTTGTTTATTCATCTGTAAAATGGGAATACTACCTTCTTCAAAGCATTAAAAGTGATCACACAGGGAAAGAAGTTGGCAAGTTATGGAGAATCATAGGTTTAACTTGAATTTTGAATTCTGAGGCAAGGCTAGCCACAGAATCATTCTTGAAAAAACTTTCATAGTTAATTTAGAAAAGACATCAATTTTTAAATATGTTTTTAAAACAATTTTTAGGTATGAAAATACAAAATATCCATACTAACCTGCCTAATAGGAAAATACAATTAAATTACATAAATTGCTAATTTCCATGCATCTTTATTATATAAAGACAAAGAATCAGTAAGACAACCTTAATTTCTACAAATTACATTAATATCAAACATACTGACATTTTCTTAGTCAAGTAACCCAGCTTTTAAATACACTTTATCTAAGAAAATTATAGCTGGGTGGACAGAATGACATTGTTGACATGGATATCAGAATACAAACTGGAAACGCTTGACTCAACACCAGGACTGGGGATTTCCTAGTGGTCACAGGACATGCAGAAAGTTCCTGAATTGAAACAGCCATATGACCATCAAAGATACACAAATGCCCCCTTGCTCCAGCTGCCTGCCAGAGAGCCAAGGTTGACAGAGATGGCCATTTCAATTTTGCTTGTATGAGGGGAACCATAGCTGGCAAATAGCACCGAGCATCATAACCCCTGTAAAGTGTTTATGGCAGCCTTCCTCATTAGGTCAATCAAATGCACGCGATTCCGCTGTCATATCACAAATTTCAAGTTTTATAGTCATATACAATAATATGTAAATCCTTATGACAGATTTCTATAAGTGGCTCATTTTAGAAATTAAAATAAGGGCTGATTCTGTCTCAGTAATAGCCATCTCCACACCTCTCACCCCTGTCTTGTTTCCGAAGACAAGCTAGCACACGTTTTCACATTTTGACTCTGAGGATCCCACTAGAAAGTTCACATAAAATAAAGATCTGGCAACACTACGTAATGTCTGGGCACGTCAATGAACACTGATTACAACGTGTCCATAACTCCTTACAAAGCAGGAAAGGATCCCAACTAGTCATTCATAAAAGAAATGGGACCCACTACATAATTCCCTGTCCACCCAAAGGGACACACATCCCAAGGCGAGATGAAATGGCATCCTTTGGTTTAAAGATCATCACTAGCGAGTTCCTACCTGAAGTGTCATGCATATACTTCGACCAGAGAATATAATCCCTCTCTTGGTTCCCCAGGGTCAGAGTGATCCCGCTGGAGCAGCAGACAGGAGTCAAGGCAAGCAGCTTGGCCGCAGAAACAGAGTAACAGTCTCTCTCCTTCACAGCCCACCTCTGACTCAGCATCATGTGATTGCAGGGGATCAGATACCTAGAATGACAAAAAGAACCAGCGTTTGGTCTCTGCAATGTCTTGAACCATTACTGGGACTAACTAAACCATAACAGGGACTCCTTGTGGCCAGGGGCAGACTCATCCTCTCCCAGCTCTCAACTGATCATCTCATCAGCCACCAGGGTTTACTCCCTAGCTTAATTTCTTCTGAAAGAACATCCTCTTTACAAAGTACTTAATGTTCTTTACAATTTAGTCTCCAGGAACTTCTGCATCTCTTAAATGATCCCTCTTCACTTCCATGCCTTTGTGCCCACTGTCACCTTTACCTGGCCTGAGATTTCCCCTTTTCTCTGCCTGACCAATGCCTTTCATTCTACAAAGTCCAGCTTCAGTGTCACCTTCTTTGAGAGGGAGCTAATCCCTCCCTCCACTATGCTCATGGGCCTCTATTAAGCACTATTACCTTGTATCACGATTACTTCAGTGTCTACCTCCTCAATATAATGTGCTACCACAGCAAGGAGTTGCTTTGATCATTTCTCTTATAATCCCAGAAACTCTGGCTCATCGCAGGCACTGAATGGCAACAGCAAACAACCACTCCATAGTGTAAACCTTTTCTTTACATTCTCACGGGTGACCAGGAGAAAATATAATGGAAAATGACTCATTGAGGATCACTGGGCCCCATTTCACACAAAACACTTTTGGTTGGTGATCAAAAGCATCTTAGTATCATTATGAACCTGGGGACAAGAAAACCTGAGCAACCATTTCTGACACACCTGGAGCACATCAGTGGGCTTCATGGCTAGAATAAAGTGTGTTTAAATGACTTCTTTTCTTAACAGGGGAAAAAAACATACTGCTTATTTAAACAAAATGGAGCAAATGGGATAAAGAACTTATAGCCAGAGCCCAGCATCACATACGTGTGCAGGAGCCAATTACAGATGAGCCCAAGCCCTTATGTGAACAATCACAACCCTTCAATCAGCCAGCATGTTTTTACTTCGGTATTCGGCATTTGAGAAAGAAGCAGTGCAGAGAAAAACAAGATAAGATTAAGCTTTTCATTAAAAAAAGATAAAAAGTACGACTTTCAGGACATGTCTTCAGGCCTGTAAACATTCAACCATCTCCCACACCTCCTGCTGATCCAAATGAGGAAAACCTAAGTTGATATTCACAACTAATCCACCGCAAGAACCAGAGTCAGAGAGGGAAGAAAGATTCCGTTCTCTTTGTGCTACTTGATACTGAAGGTTTTAATAATACTTTCCAGGTATGATATGAAAAACTTGCCACTTAACCTTCAGTTCTCAGAAAAGGCAAACCATCTAGGTAAGGCGGTCCTCATCCCCTCCTCCCACTGTCCCCATGGGCAGATATATACTGTAAACCTGCTATCAGTAAGAACCAGACACACCCTGCAGGTCTGATGTGGTGGCATCTGTTTTCATAAGTGCAGTTTCATGAAAGTAGAAGGTTACAAGAACAAAAAGGAAAGTACGGAACAGGAGGCAAGCCTGTTCTGATTCTTGGTTTAGTTTTGGGGAATTTAGCAATGAGGAAAAATGGATGTTGCAGGAAGAAAATAAAGGAGCTCTTTTCCACAAGGATATCTGTGAGTAGAGACGCTCTGGTAACCAGAAATAACACAGGAGAGAGAAGCATTCTCCCACCTCTGTGTGAACCTGCCAGCTGTGAACAAAGCACAGCTGGACCCCAGTGGACACCCAGAGAAGGCAATGCTGCTCTAGCACCACAGGAAGGTGCCGGGGTGCACAGCAGGAACAGGGGCAGCGGGTTTGGGGGTGGGAAGGGAAGGTAGCAGCGACAAAAGGGATTGGAGCAGGAGAGGGGACCATGGCTGATGCTGCTGTGGCAACCATGGTGGGAGATTTGTTCATGCTTATATATAAGACTCCTCATTTGGGGGTGGGGTACAGTGCCTCATACCTGCAATCCCAGCATTTTGGGAAGCTAAGGTGGGAGGACTGCCTAAGGCCAAGAGTTCAAAACCAGCCTGAGCAACACAGCAAGATCCTGTTTCTATAAAACATAGAAGAGTTAGCCGAGTGTAGTGGTGTGCACCTGTAGTCCCAGCTAGTCGGGAGGCTGAGGTGGGAGGATCACTTGAGCCCAGGATGTAGAGGCTGCAGTGTGCAATGACTACACCACTGCACTCCAGCCTGGGGGACAGAGTGAGATCCTGTCTCTAAAAAACAAAAACAGAGAAACAAAAAAGATTTCTCACTTGGTGATCCCTAGAAGTGATGGGTGATACTTTTGTGTTAGGTTGGGGGTTTAGGGGTGGGTCCAAGGTTTTCTATGAGGTGGCTGGGGTCAGAGCTGGAAAAACCTGTCCTGTAGCCATTGATGTGAACTCTTCCCATAGGCTGGTGAGGCCTAGAGAAATTCCGATTACACAGGATTTATTGTATCCTTATTTTGGTCATTAATTATTTAAGAAATAAACTGCTTCGATGCTTTTATATACTGCTGGAACAGCAATGACTGCTTATGGCTCAAACTAAGCATATTTTATGATTTAAGTTGATATTCATAGATTTTTATTCTTTGTTTGAAGTATTAAAAATGGAACACTGGATCAAAGCTAATAAAGCTATTTATCAAATATCACCAGTGGGTAGCTTGAAACTATATTAGAACAAAGACTTATTGGGGAATTGCAACTTTACAAATACATGCTTTCAGTAGAAACTAAAAATTTTCTTCTGAATAGATCAAATCAACGGAGATCCCCTATTGGTTGAAAGAAAGAGTCTACGAAACAGGAAATGGGGAGTGTATTCAAATGAATAGCCCAGGATATTCTGAATGGTGGTTCTCAGAGGTCATTATATTAAGTTAAATAAGCCAGGCACACAAAGACAAATATCGCATGTTCTCATTCATACGTGGGAGCTACAAAAGTGAATCTCACAGAAGTAGGGAGCAGAATGGTGGTTACAGAGGCTGGGAAGGGAAGGCGGAAGAAGTTAGTTAAGGGGTACAAAAATGCAGCTACACAGAGTGCTAGTATTTAATAGTACAGTAGAGAAGTTACAGTTGACAATAATTTATTGTATATTTCAAAATAGAAGAAAATAATTGTAATGTTCCCAACGCAACACAAAGAAAAGATAAATGCTTGACATGATAGATATCCTAATGATCCCGATTTGATTATTACACAGTGCACACATGCATCAAAACATCATGTGTACCCCAAAAATATGTGCAACTATTATACATCAATTTTCAAAAGAAAAGAAAAAAAGCAGTGGTTCTGCTGTATCTTTAAAATGAAGGATCATCCCAGAAGAAAGAATAGAAAAAAAAGACCGTGCCCCTCTGTCTGTCTTTTCGTCACTCACAGGAAAAGATTAGAAATAGAATAAATGCCAGAATATCCCCAAATGTCAAATATCAAGATGAATTGGCTGCCAATAGCGGAAAAATCACTTATGAATTTAGTATAGGTATTTATCCTCAAACTATCTTTTCATTTATACTATATTTTATTTGAGAATTTAAATTCATGAAACTATAAAAATAATCAGAGACTAATAAATATCTGACTTCAGAGGTCCAGATTTTGCAAAGCCATGCCCCAACACAGAAGGAAAAAAAGAAAAAATATATCTAATATATACATAAAATATGTATCATATATATATCATACATATTGTCCTCCCTGATTTTCACTATTTCCCCAACCCTCTATAATCCTGGGCCTATTTCTTACTTTCTTGGATATTGGTCATTAAATTAAACCATCATTACTTCTAAAATATTCAGTGACAATCAGCTGATAACAAAGTACACATATTGCCGTATGCTACACTGACCATAAACACAAGCAAAACAAGGCAGGGAAGTACAATGAGCTAAGTGAAGCACTTCTTCTGAGATGATAACTCCAACAATGCACTCATAGACCAAAATCTACAAAGCAATGTTAGTGAATTCAAAAAGATCATTTGTGATTCAAAGAAGTTCTGGCCATATTTCTCCTATTCATTTTCCCCTAGGCTGGCAGGCTTTATGGGTTTTTGGTTTTTTTTTTTCCTTTCCTCCAGACCCCTAACTCCTATGCAAAATGAAAATGTTCCTAAAGTATACATACAGCTTCTCTTCAGGCAAAACAACCTCTATCTGAACACAACAGGCAAGGCAGTTCATAAACCTGACAATGGACCAGTACTTCTGAAAAAAACTCTCTAACCAGAATATTCAGATATAGCATTCAATGTATTAAGCAATTAAATTTTGTCTCAACTGGGAAGTTCCAGGAGCATGGCAGATATTTGTTACCTCACTGCTTGTCAGCATTTCCTGCCTGCCTTTGGCCTATCATATGTCATATCCGTGGAGGTGGACAATTTCTCCTTGGTTTTCTGCTCACTAAAATATCCTGTCTTTGGGGATACCTTATTTCAACTCACTTTTCTGATATTTTGTCAAATGAAGAAACTAGTATCTGTTACAAATGGATCATCATTTTGAAATGTTGGTATTTATGAGTATTTGGGTTGTAACAAAAATTGACATATAGTTATTATTTATCACATAACAAATACCTTCATTAAACGCAGTCACATAATCTTTATTGCTCTACTGCCTCTCAGATCTGCAAGTTTATCATGTATATTCAAATGACTGCAGTGGCAGCAGCAAACAAAAAGGACAGATTATAAATCCATTTTTTATGTCTCTTAAAATAATGCTCAAATGACTTGAAGAATAAATATTTTTTTATTGGCTTTGCTTTTTGCACAGATTCTAAATTGGGAAAAAATTATTTTCATTAGTTTAAAATGTCCTTTCTAGAAAATTCTCTCCCTTAAATGTGTGTTATACTTTACAGCAGGGGTGTCTAATTTTTTGATTTCCCTGGGCCACACTGGAAGAAGAAGAATTGTCTTGGGCTACATATAAAATACACTAGCACTAATGATAGCTAAAAGAAAAAAAGAATTGCAAAAAAAAACTCATAATGTTTTAAGAATGTTTACAAATTTGTGTTGGGCCCCATACATGCGGCCCGCAGGCCAAAGGTTACAGAACCTTGCTTTACAGCATTTCAAAACATCTTCACAGACATACCACAGTTGATCCTCCCAATAACCTTATGAGGTAGCATATTCCAAAACCAAAACAGGCTGAGTCACATCAGCAGTGCAGAAGAAGGAGACCAGGAGCCAGTGGTTTCTTCCATGCCTATTATGTGCCCAATCGACTTCTGTGTATGTCCTCTCAGTTTCTCTCCTGGTGGAACCCCTCAAGCAGCACCGCAGAATTAGAAACAGAGGAAGTATTCAATTAAGAGTAACTATATTATTATTACTGTCACTATCATCCTCATTAAAGAAACTTAGGCCCAGAGAGCCTAGGACCAGGCAGTCAAGCCCATGTCCTAACCTCAGGTCTGGCACTGGTTTTTTTTTTCATTATTCCATTCAGAACTTGTGATAACATAACATTCAGGCACTTCCCTGGGATATTTGTCCTCACCCACCCTAGAAATGACTAGCCCTGACTTGAACATTTATGTATTTCAACCATGAGCTGATCTCTTCATCTTTATAAGGTACAAGTCTGGGTCTCCAGAGAAGCCATTACTGATGCCATCTCTGAGGATACTTTTTTAACACAACCACCACCACTATATGAGCAGTAAAAGGGTGATTAGTGCTCACCTTGTAAAGGTCACTGAACAGCCAGCAAGCAAGAGCTTCCATCACCTGGACTAAATCTGACCTGGTGACCCACAGCTGGGAAGCTCTGCACCTGCAGACCAAGGCCAGGCTTCCAAGTACACTGAAAAAAGACAGCTGGTTTTCCTACCATCAAAGAAGCAGTATTTAAGAATTTAACATTTAAATACCATCAGGTTTTACCCACTTTGGAGTAAAAGCCTGGTTCTTTGGGCAGTAAAAACGGCTTTGCCAAGTTGTTCCGGATTTCATTCAGGCCTTGCTAATGCATTCTGTCATATATCAGTAGAGGCTTGATGAGGAGCTAACATAATCCTTTTAGGGCAGATAACTAATGCTCTACCCAGACTATCCAGGGTGTTTCTTTAAGATTGGATTTGTTTTCTGCTAATCCTTAAGATTAGTTACTGATGACCTAATCTAAAACCCTAAAAAGTTCAACAGCTCTTTTAAACTTAAAAATCTAATAGGTGATACTCTCCCGACAATTCTGTAAGGCCCTCCACAATAGGCCACCACCAGGTTTTTCAGAGTCGTTTTGTAATCATTCTCTTTTGCAAGATGTTATGCCTGCACGGCACCACTCCTCAAGCAAAGTGGTCTCAAAGTTAGCACCCACTCTTATTCCCCAGGACTGCTCCAATGAAGGGTCAGGAAGTCCACTAAGGAAGGAGGAGCAGGGAGTGCATGCCAGAGGACCCGGGTAGTCCCACTTTTTCGTTTTTGCTTCCACACCACCAGAAGAGCATGTAAGAGCACAAACCCTCGCAACTCGGAGCTCCTCTCAGCCCTAGCCCTTCGCTCCTCTCTCAGCTTTGGGACCACATTCTCTCTGGGTCCGCTTCTTGCAGCGCTGGGGTAGGGTTTCACCAGAGTAGTCAACTCCAAGGTTCAGGATCTGGGTTTACCAAAAAGAAGGAAAGACGTGCACCATGGTCTAACCAGGGGTTTCTAGAGTTCTGTGCAGAGATTCAGAGCTAAATCATGAGCTAATAAGGAAGCATCATTGCTTTCCTTCACAAAAACAGATGCTTCTCACAGGTTCTGGAGAAGAAGAGGTATTGCTGGGCCAAGACAAGATTTGGTGTACCTGAGTTCCCTATTAAATTGCCAAATGACTGTCTTCTTAATAGCTGTGCACTTTGACTTCTAATACTCATCTTCAAATACCAGCCACTTCATAAAACCTTTCCCACCTGTACTTCTGTCCAAAGGACAAACCTTTGCTACCTTGTATATAAGTCCTCAGTTCACAGCAAATACTCATCAAATTTTTACTGAATTTAACTGAAATATATTCACAGATCAGAGAGTAAACACTGTGTGTGTACCATTATCAAAGCATAAATCAAAGAAATTATATATCAAAAGCATTTTATATTTGGAAAACTTCCTTTTAATAGCAAAAGTCCCCTATAAATGTACTTCAGGAGAAAGACGTTCAGTCACAGACCAGAATAGCTTTTATAATACTTCTGAACATTTTCAAGCATTCTATCTATAATTTCCAGGAGCATATTTACAATATAATGCATATGGCCCTCGACAAACTTTTAATAGTACAAATAAAATTAACCTTGGGAAACAATGCAAAACACAAATTAATGTTCTTGATAATTTTCTTCCTTAGATGCATGGCCCCTATTTAGCTTATATGACCAAAGTAATATAAAGTATATGAATAGAAAGTAATATAAAGTATAAAGTGAATTTTTCTTTAAAGGAAACAAAAAAGGCAACTCACCTTAGAACTAGCTGTAACATCACATCTTCACAATGTAAACCAATGAGAGTTCTGAATAATGCCAGGGACACCACACAAAGCTGGGAAACAAGAGACACACATTCTAGTTCAGATGCTGGAACGATAACTCCACTCCCCACAGATAGTAAATAAATCAGAATTACAAAATAAAATGGGCCTTTTTTTTTTTTTTTTTTAGCAGTTTTGATAAAAAGCATGCTGCTGCCAGAGAGAATGTGTATTCAGGATATCAATTCTCCCATAGGATTTGATTAGAAAGCCAGTGTCTGGAATTATGCCACTGTGCAGAATTATCTTCCTACAAAAATGCCTGGGCTCGTATTTCCAACTTTTAAAGATCCAGACAGATAAACATTCTCCCTACAATTCTCCAATTCTCTCTCTCTCTCTCTCTCTCTCACACACACACACACACACACACACACACACACACACAATCTCCTATTTAGGTAATTTGTTTTCCTGAGTTATTTTTCAAACATTAGTTATTTACAAGACAGGGCTCAGGGAAAATTGTATATAACCTAGCCAAGTCTCCCTTCAGAGTTCTTAGCCTCAAGCTCAGCTCCTCTCTTGGCTTTGGGGCAAACATTTTCCTTGGTTCCATTTCCCATTGTGCTGAGGGTGAGATAATGTTCTTTTCTAAAAAGTTCTTTAAAAAAACAAGAATTCTATCAATGCTGATTTCCAAAAAGAAAAGGTTAACTGCCAAATAGGGGAGATGCCCAAAGGTGTATTGTAAAATCTTTGCACCCTTTTGAGAGTAAGCTTTTATCAATCTACTGGCCCATTTAAGTAATTTTAAGCTCTCACTCTTTGTAGAGTAAATGCTAGTCTGTTTTCTAGGCAAGTTGGGCTTAAAATCTGGCCAATGAAATCCACAACAATGCTGTAAAGAAAGAGCTGTACTTAGCCTAACCCAAAACATCTCTTATCCTCAGGGCAGGTCATATACGTGTAGTTAGCTAGAAGCAACATACCCTGTTACCATTCTAAGTCTTTGCACTTGTGGTTCCATTAAATGCAATGGCTTTTCCTGACTCCTCCAACAGGCTAACTCCTATCTGTTCTCAAAGTCTTAGCTTAGGCCTCACCTCCCTTAAGAAATCTTTCTGTTCTGTCTCACAATATTACCATCCAACACCTCCTTTCCCCAACCCAGTTAGGTTTCCTTCTTATCCATTGCCACAGTAACCCCTGCAAATCACTGTTAATTTATCAGACTTCATAGTAACCCGGACCCCTCACTGTTAAGGGTGAGCCGCAGGGTGTTTGTCTTTTTATTATTGAGTTGTAGGAGTTGTTTATTTTGTGTACAAATACCTTATCAGATATATGATTTGCAAAAATTTCCTACCATTCTGTGAATTGTCTTTTCAAGTTCCTGTTGTTGTCCCTTGAAGGCAAAAGTTTTTAATTTTGATAATTTCCAATTTATCAATTTTTTCATTTGTTGTCATTCATGCTTTTGGTGTCATATCTAAGAAAACACGGCCAAGGCTACAAGGATTTACTCTTATGATTTCTTCTAAGAGTTTTATAGTTTTAGCTCTTACATTTAGGTCTCTGGTCCATTTTGAGTTAATTTCTGTATATGGCATGAGGTGTGGATTCAGCCCTATTATTTTGCACGTGGATATCCAATTGTCTTAGCACCATTTGTTAAAAAGACTATTCTTTCTCCCACTGAGTGGTCTTGAAATTTCCTTGAAAACTAATTGACCATGGATATATGAGCTTATTTCCGGATTTTCAATTCTGTTCCACTGATCTGTATGTCTATCCTGCACCACACTGCTTTGATTACTGTAGCTTTGTAGAAAGTTTTGAAACCAGGTACGCTGAGTTCTCCAACTCGTTTCTTCAAGTTTGTTTTGACTATTCTGGGTCCACTGCATTTCCATATGAATTTTAGAGTCAGCTTATCTATTTCAACAAATAGGCCAGATAGGAGTTTTATAGAAAAACACTGAAACGGTAGATCGATTTGTGGAGTATTCCTATATTAACAATATTAAGTCTTCTGGTCTATGAACATGGGATGTTTTCCTTTTATTTAGGTCTTCTTTAATTTAAACAATGTTTTATACTTTTTGCAGCATAAGTTTTGCACTTCTTTTGTAAAATTTATTCATATTTTCTTTTGATGTTATTGTAAATTGATTTTTGTACATTAATCTTGTATCTGCAACCTTACTAGACTCATTCATTCTAACAATTTTAGTGCATTCCTGAGTTTTTACATACAAGAGCATGTCAACTACAAATACTGATTATTTTACTTTTAATATAAATGTGTTTATTTCATTATTTCATTTTCTTATTTAATTGCCCTGGCTAGAACTTCAAGTACCATCTTGAATAGAATTGAAGAGAGAAGATATCTTATTCCTTATCTTAGTGAAAAACCATTCTTCACTATTAAGTATAATGTTAGCTCTGACTTTTTCGTAGATGCCCATTATCAGATTGCTAGGAAGTTCCCCTCTATTTCTAGTTTGTTGAGTATGCTGTTGATAATCGTGTTTTCCTTTATCTTGATACGATGTATTACATTCATTGATTTTCAGACTTTAAACCAGCTTTACAATCCTAGTTTGATAAATCCCATTTGATCATAGTGTATAATCCCTTCTATTTATTCTAGATTTCATTTGCTAGTGTTTTATGGAGAATATGGGGAGCCCATATTCATAGTTAGTGTATAGTTTTCCTGTGGTATCTTTGTTTAGTTTTGGAATCAGAATTAACACTGGCTTCACAGAATGAGTTGAGATGTATTTCCTCCTCTTCTAATTTTTTAAAGAGTCTGTGAAGAATTTGTATTAATTATTCATTTTTTAAATTGATAAAGAACACACAACATAAAAGTTAACATATTACTGATTTTTAAGCATACAAATCACTAGTGGTAACTATATTCACAGTGTTGTGCAACAGATCTCTCAAACATTACATTTTGCAAAACTGAAACTCAATAACCACCAAACAACTTCCCATTTTCCCCACCACCCAGCTCCTGGAAACCATCATTTTACCCTCTGTTTCTTTAAGTTTGACTATTTTAGATCCCTCACATGAGTGGAATCCTACAGTTCGTCTTTTTCTGACTGGCTTACTTCACTTCACATAATACCCTCAAAGAGCATCCATATTGTAGCATGTAACAAGATTTCCTTTTTTTTTTAAGGTTGATTAACATTCCATTCCATTGTACACATAACAACATACTCTTTTATCTACTCATCCATCAATGGACAATCTAGGTTGCTTCAACCTCTTGGCTAGTGTGAATGATGCTGCAATAAACATGGGTACACAAATATCTGTTCAAGATAGTGCTTTCAATTATTTTAGATATATTCCCAGAAGTGGGATTGCTGGATAATGTACTAATCCTATGTGTTATTTCTTGAGAAACCTCCATGCTGTTTTCCATAATGGTTGCACCACTTTACATTCCCATAAACAGGGCACAAAGGTTCCAGTATTTCCACATTCTCAACAACACTTACTTTTTCAGTTTTTTGGATAGTAGCCACCCTAATGGATATGAGATAATATCTTATTGTGGTTTTGATTTGCACTTCTCTAATCTTTTCATATGTTTTGTGGTCCTTTGTATGTCTTCTTCACAGAAATATTCAAGTACTTTGTTTATTTTTAAGTTAGATTATTTGGATTTTTGGTTGGTGGTGAGTTACAGAACTTTTTATATATTCTGGATACTACCCCTTATCAGATATATGACTCATAAATATTTTCTCCCATTCTGTAGGTTGCCCTTTCATCTTGTTGATTAGTTCATTTGATATGCTTAAGTTGTTAAGTTTGATGTACTCCCATCTGTCTATTTTCCTCTACGCTTCTGGTGTCATATCCAATAAATTTTTACAAAATCAATTGCTATGAAGTTTTCCTTCATGTTTTCTTCTAGGAGTTTTGTAGTTTCAGATCTTATGTTTAGGTCTTTTATCCATTTTCAGTTAATTTTTTATATGGTGTAAAGTAAGGGTTCAACTTCATTCTTTTGCATGTGGAAATCCAATTTTACCATTGCCATTTGTTGATGAAATCGTCCTTTCCTATTGTGTAGTCTTGGCATCCTTGTCAAAGATCATTTGACCATAATACAAGGGTTCATTTCTGTTTCATTCTGCTTCCTATTCTGTTTCATTGGTCTTTATACTAGTACCACACTGTTTTGTATTACTATAGCTTTGTAATATGTTTTAAAATAAGGAAATGTGAGCTCTCTAACTTTTGCCTTCTTTTTCAATATTATTTTAGCTATTCAGGGTCTCTTGAGATTTCATATAAATTTTAGGATTTTTTTTTCTATTTCTGCCCAAAAAATGTCACTGGGATTTTGTTACAAATTGCATGGAATCTGTAGATTGCTTTGAGTAATATGGCCATTTTAATGAAAATAAGTTTTTCAATCCATGAACATGGAATGTCTTTCCATTTATTTGTTCTTTTTTCATTTCTTTCAATAATGTTTTGTAGTTTTCAGTGCACAAGTCTTTCACCTCCTCAGTTAAGTTTATTCCTAAGTATTTTATCCTTTTTGATGCTATTATAAAGAGCTTTTTAAAATTTCCTTTTCGAATTGTTCATAGTTAATATATACAAATTATTTATGTGTGTTGACTTTGTATCCTGCAACTTTACTGAACTCACTTGTTAGTTCTAACAGTTTTTGAGTGACATCTTTAGGATTTTCTATATATATGATCATGCTGTCTACAAACAGACACAATTTAACTTCTTTCTATCCAGTTTAAATGCCTTTATTTCTTTCTCTTGCCTAATTGCCCTGGCTAGGACCTCTAAGTGGGCATCCTTGCCTTGTTCCTGATTTCGGAGAAAAAGCTTTTAGTCTTTCACCATTGAGTAAGATGTTAGCTGTGGGCTTTTCATATAAGGGCTTTAATATGTTGAAGTTGTTTCTTTATATTTCTAGTTTGTTGAGTGCTTTTATCATGAAAGGGTGTTGAATCTGTCAAGTGCTTTTTCTTTTTCTTTTTTTTATTTTTTTTATTATTTATTTATTTAT